TGTCCAGCAATTTATAAAAAAAAAAATTATGAAAAACCTACCACACGCTCTTACTCAACTGCTATCAAACTCTCATATATAAAATGTCAGACCAGTCCAGCCGATCCATGCGGGACTGGCCCAAGCGCAAATGAGACAAACTGATCCACGCGGGACTGGCCCAAGCGCAAATGAGACAAAACTTCTCCGCCTCCTGCATATGCCGATCAAGCCGCTAGGTTCACGGGAGCCAATTTGGAAGGTTTTTTTTTTTTTTTAAGAAAATTGGAAGGAAAATTGAATGTAGGGATTGTTTAAGGATTTCCTTTTGATTTGTATGCATTAAATATTTTATTTTCATAGAGTTAGGACATCTAAAATTTGCCTGAAATTTGAGATATCTTAGATTTAAGTTTTCTTTTAGGCTCTAGTAGCGTCTAGAAATTTGGGAGAGATCGATGCTCCTCTAAAATTGAGAATCAATTATATCTTGCTCATTTCCGTTTCTATTTCATCAAAAATTACAAATTTTTTTACTGTTTTCTTGATTTTGTGGGGGTTCTTGTGGAAGATTTTCACTGTTTTTCTAAAAATTGATAGGAATTAGTTGAGATCTTCAGGTGTTTCCTATCAAAGAACTCCATAAATGAAGATCTTCCCCCAAAATAGCGTGGAGATTTTCAGATGACTAAAATTTATCATTTTGGTATAAAAATCTGTCCAAGGATTTCAGTCGAATACAAAGATTGTAACAAATAAACATTTGTTCATGAGCAGGTACATCAAATACATGACATGCTGAAGAGATATTGACAAATTTTTACACTCCATATTCCTTTTTTTTTTATTATTTAACAGCCCCCATCATATTTTACATCATGACTGTAAACAGAACATAAAATAATGGAATGAAGATGGCGCAGATTTCAATCTCTTTGATTCCAAAACTATTTATCTGCTTCAGACCTTAGTTCCTCTTCAAGTTCATCAAATTCCCAAACCCCAACCTCTTCATTAGAGAAATCACTTCCAAAGTTTCCAAATTCCTTTTCGAATTTTGCGAGTTCTGATTCTGGATCATGTTGTTGTTCTGTACTTATAGATTTTAATTTGGAAGACTCGTTAGAGATGAACTTAGGTGATTTTGGAGACTCATTTGCCGATTTAGGTGAAGGAATTGGCTCTGCAATGTGAGAATGCCTATGTTGTTTCTCTTCAAGAGCCTCAATTTCTAGTATTGGCCGCTCAGTCGAGTTAAAATCTGCTCTAATTTTCTCAATTTCATTGAATAATTCCTTGATTTCAGGGTCATCTTTCCTGATTTAAAAAAAAAAATCAGCTAATGCATTTAATAAAATCATATCTGCAAAAAAAAAAAAGATATAAAACTAAAACAGGCGCATAAAATTGAAGAATTATCAATATTTATCATATAAAATGAGATAACCTGGATTGGTATCTTGGTTCTGCATAAAACATTTCTTTCATGTGATCGGCCAAACTGAAGGCAGTAACAATCTGAGGAGAAAGAAAAAAACAAGTACTAGTTAAAACAAACTATAAGGATCAGCAATTCAACTTTTTCAAGGCAAAGTGATGCAAAACTATTATGGTTTAGGGATTCGAAATAAAATTAATATGATGCAATGCATCACTAAATGCAAAGTAACTTGAGGATTCAAAGATCACAAGCAATACTAGAATTAAATCTCAACTAAAAATAGTATGATAAAAATAATCTGAAAAATTCAGCGATGAATTAGAATCACAAAATTAGTC